AAAACCTAGCACCGCCCAACTCAACCATTTTGTAGGGAATCGAGCGATCCAATGCACGTGCCACCGCCAACGAGATCTTTGAGTGAGCATGACAACTCCAAGCTGACATAAATGCAATCTACTAGTCTAATTTGATTTAGTTAATTACAGGGCTCTCACATTTACAATAAATTGTGCAACGTTTTAAACTATACAAATATTTAAGCAACATGATTATATTATTACACAAATAGAATTCATTGAACATCACTGTGTTTCATGTATTATCCTGCGGAGCCGGACCAGCCTGCCTCCAAGCACTTTTATCCTCTATATAATCATTTAGTTTGTAGTATGCTTGTGTACATAACGTTTTTTTAATACATAGTTTAAATTTTCTTTCATTTAGATGCAGTATTTCTTGGGGGATTTTGTTATAACATTTAACACCTATTCCCATGAACGACTTATGTACTTTTGACAATCTAAAAAACGGCGGACTTAATCTATTCTTATGTCTAGTTTCATAATTGTGTCTGTCAGACACTTTACTAAATAAATGTAGGTTTTTCCTAACATACATAATATTTTCATAAATAAATTGACATGGAACGGTCATAATATTGATCTCCCTAAACCTTTCTCTGAGAGATTCGCGACGACCTAGGTTGTATATAGCTCTGACGGCGCGCTTCTGCAAGACAAAGATAGACTCAATGTCAGCAGCGTGTCCCCACAGCAGAATGCCATACGACATGATGCTATGGAAGTAACTAAAGTACACCAGTCTTGCCGTGTCTATATCGGTTAACTGACGGATTTTCCAGACAGCATAAGCTGCAGAGCTTAATCGTCCCGCTAGAGATGTAATATGAGGACCCCATTGTAATTTGTCGTCTACAGTAATTCCCAGGAAAATAGTCTCTTTTACAAATTCCAATTTCTCACTATTCAGTAATATGTCACATTCGTTATTTTTAACGTTTGGCAAAACAAATCTAATGCATTTTGTCTTTTTATCATTCAGCACTAAATTATTTATTGTAAACCAGTTTTGAACCTTCATCAGAGCACTATTTACATCGTCGTAATTATTTGTACGTCTATTTATTTTAAAAACCAGTGATGTGTCATCAGCAAATAATACCATCTGTGGTTCATTCCGGAATAAATGCGGCAAGTCATTTATATAAGCCAAAAATAGGAAAGGGCCTAGTATTGAGCCCTGCGGTACACCCATAGATATGCTAGCACCCTGTGAGTTTACCTTATTTACTTGCACCTTAAGTTGCCTATCCCGAAGGTATGACTTTAATAGATTTAGCGATACCCCTCTAATGCCGTAGTGTTCCAGCTTCAGCAAAAGCGTTTCGTGCTCAACACAGTCAAATGCCTTCGAAAGATCAATTGTGTGTGTATTGTGTTGTGAGGGAGATTTTCGCGAGAGAGAGTCATGCTTCGCCGCGAATGGATTGGTTTGGTCGGAGTTTTACCACGGCCCGGACTGCACGGAGGTTTACAGAAAACAGGCGTGAAACGACCCTATCGTTGTGTTTCGCAGTGTGGGTGTGGGTGAAGTATGGAGGCTCTAACTACCATCAATGCACTTCTAATAGAGAATTAGTCCTTAAGCATTTGGTTAAGTGAAATCCATAGTTCAAGTTTCTGTAACTTCGAATAGTTAAAATCTGAAAATTTTTATTTGGATTTTGACAAAAATTAAATTTGAGAAGGTCAAAAATAGAGTAGGATTCTATTTCTATCAATCTCTGCCTATCTCTTCATTGAAAGGCTATCGTGATGGTGATAGTTCTACTAATAATATTATATTATAAATGGGAAAGCTTGGGAGGATGTATGTGTGCGTGCGCGTGTGTGTGTGTTTGTTAGTCTATTACGCAGATACTACTAATCGAATTTGGATGGAATTTGGAACAGAGGTCTACCTCTGTACCATGATCTATTATGGTGTTGAATAACACATAGGCTATTTCTTATCCCAATAATAATATCTTATCATCATCAATAACCTATAAATGCCCACTGCTGAGCAAAGTCTCTTTTCACACGGAGAAGGATAGAGCGTTAATCACCACGCTTGCTCAATGCGGGTTGGCGATTTCTTATAATTAGAACCTGAACTTATAATTAGAAATTATAAGTCCAGGTTTCCTCACGATGTTTTCCTTCACCGTTTGTCAGTGGCGTCTAGATAATCTTAGAAAGTACATGTATCTCGGAAAAAGTCACATTTGTACTTGCCGTTGGTAGGTTTCGAACC